ACCACAGAGGCATGTGAAGTCCCTCTTCACCAGCATAGAATTTTAAAGCCTATCATCCCACAGCACTTGTGTTATAAAACAGTGGCAGAGTATGAGGCATTCTGTAGATCTGGACTTTTATATGGAACAACCCTATAAATTAAAAGTGATTTAATTTGTGGGGCTGGCAGGTGGCATGGTTAAGGGCACTGGATTCCCACATGGCTGACTGTAGCTCAAGTCCTGAACCTGGAGCCTTGCTTTCTCACTTTCCCTCTCTCTCTGTCTTTCCCCCTCTGATCAAACGAAAATACATAAGTAAATAAAGTTAAATAAAATAAATCTTTAAAAAAAAAAAAGTGATTTCATTGGTAAAAAGAGTTCCACTACCCGAAGCAGATTTGGAAACTGTCACCTTAAGTCTTAGACTTGACGAAATTGAATTGTTTTTAGATTGTTGGCAGTTATGAGGAAAAATGAAACAATGTTGATTAACTCCTTGAACTTGTTAGAAATGAACAAAAAGAAACCATGGTAGTTAATTTTATTTTCTTATATACTTACACTTTTCTAAGTATTGCACTGGTTCACTCACTGCTCTAGATCATCCAGCAGGGATTTAGGTTATTTTTATCTCAGACCCAAGGGAGAATGGCCTGGATACAGCATTCCTGCACATCTCTCTGTGACTGAAGTTAGATACATATATAGCACATCTGCCCATAGCCCAGCATGTCAGCTTTTGGTTTTGAACCTTTGAATCTAAGAATCCCGGGCAGGTAGCAGTGGGATACATAGTAATGAGTCAGTATAGAGTATCCAGAATTTATTTCTGTTGGCTTGCCAGGGCTACCTACCTTATTAGCAGTACATCAGGACTGTATTAGTTGTTTATCTGTTACTCGAAATGTTCATATTTGGGGATTTTTTTTTTTTCAGATTTTAGCATATTTGCAAAATTTAGTGATGGGACCCAAATCTAAACACAAAATTTATTCATGTTTGATATACATGTTATACGTATAGCCTGAAGGTAATTTTATCTAATATTTTGTATTGAAGTTTTTTTATTGTGACCTGTCATATGAGGTCAGGTGTGGAATTTTGTATGTGATTGTCATTGCTCAATATTTCAAAATTTGAAGCCTTTCAGATTTCGGTTTTCAGACTAGGGATGCTTAATCTGTGCATTGCTTAAAATCTTTTGTTTTACTTTCAACTTTAGAAGAAATGAATGATCCTAGTAAGCCATTGTATTCTCTTGTCCTGCTTGATAGGTCCCACCTTTTTTTCGTCTGTGAAATCTAGTTTCAGCAGAATTAAAGTTCCAGCTGTTCCATGGAGACACACACCCTTGTGACCCTACTGGGAGATGGAGTTGCAGCGGGGACTAGAGTAGGGGGAAGAGGTTCAGCTACAGCAGGTCTAACTTATCTGTTCAAATAAGATTTTACTTAAAAAACAAGGTTCAAGCCCTACTCTAGAAAACCTATAAATCTTTGTAGTCTCGTGAACTCCAAGGACTAAACTTGAATTTGGATCCCACGTTTTTAGATGAGCAATGAAATTATATTTCCATGTGAGTTTATCAGTGTTCCAGAGGCTAGAGGCTCTATTTTTTGGATGAAGCTTACTATCTTGGAGGAAATGATTCTCATACACAGCCAAAGCCAAATTCTTTGCTTAGAGGCTAATGTGTTTTTAGAAATTATATTGCTTGGGACCAGCAGTTGGCATAATGGCTATTTTGCTGGACTCCCATGTTCAAGTCCCAGACCTCGTGGCTTAAACTCACACCAGGCACGTGTGGGTGCGTGCCCAAGATCCCGAGAGGAGAATGGAGGAGAAGAGATTGTGGCGTGGCCATCCTCCCTGGGGGGTGATTTCTTGCTTTCTGTCTCTCTGTCTCTGTCTGTCTTTCTGGTGAACGCACATGCCCTATAGCAAAAACTTCTCAGAAAGAAAGAAAGAAAGAAATTAATGTTGCTGGGACCAGCAAATAGCATGATTGTTAAAGTGCTGGACTTCCATATGGCTGACCATGGTTTGAGTCCAGGTCCTGGTGGCTTGCTTTCTCACTTTATTTCTCGCTATCTCTAGTGAGCATGTGTGCCCTGTAGCAAATTAAAAAATAATAATGATAAATATATATATATTTTTTTAGAAAAAAAGAGAAATTACATTGCCTGATATGAATTACATGTTTTAGTTTTTTAAAGGGTACAGGGCAGGTCATTTTGTTGTGGAAAAAATAATCACTGTGGGGACCAGCAGATGGCATAATGATTATGTTGTTGGCCTCCCACTTAGTCTGCAGTTAAAGTCCTAGACTTGGTGGTTTAAAACTCATGCTGAGCGTGTGTGCATGCCCCAAATCCCAAGAAGAGACTGGTGGAGAAGGGATTGTGGTTTGGCCATCCCCCAGGAGGTGATTTCTTGCTTTCTGTCTTCTTTGTCTTTCCATCTCTCCCTGTCTCTCCAGTGAGTGCATGCACCCAATAGCAAAAATCTCTCTTTCAAAAAATAAAATCACTTACCTCTCAATTTACGCAAAGCTTAAGGAGATAACAAGTTATTTCCAGAATCTACTAAAATCATTAAATCTTAAAATGTCTTCAGAATCCGTAGATGAGGAAAATGGTGTACCAAGTTATGCATTACTCTTATTTCCTTCTAGAGTTGCTAATAACTGGTCTTCACTTTTTAACCCTTGAGGACGCCTGACTATAGAAAGCTGATGGGAGTCTTTTGCTTCTGAGATTTCTTTTTTGAGAATTATTTATTAATTCTATTTGTTATTGTTATCTTTTGATTTGACCACCAGAGAGAGAGAGAAAGAGAAAGCAAAAAGCAAGCCACCAGGTCCAGGACTTGAACCATGATCGGCCATGTGGGAATCCAGCACCCTTATCCACCACACCGCCTGCCGACCTCTGAGATTTTTGTGTTTGTTTTTTTTTTAATAAACACTTTATTTTTAGGTAAGCCAAATTTAAGATCTAGGACTAACACAGAGTAAGAAAACATGTTGGACAATTTCAGTATTTTTCCTACTCAAGGCTCCAGAACTAAATTGCTTAGACTTGAATACATGCTCTGTGCTCAGCAGCCATGTGTTGGGCAGGTTTTGTGTGCATGGTATCTAGGGCATGTGAGGGGAGGGTAGGAAAGGAGACGGGAAAGGTAGACAGGATCAAGTAACATAAGACCTGTGCACCATGTCAGGCATGGAGCTCTCCCAAAGAGTCAAACGGGATGTACAGCATCAGATTGTGCTTTAAAACATGACTCTCTTACCCTTTGGATGTGGGTAATTGCAGTAAGGTAGGACTAGAGTCAGTAAGAGAGTAATGATACCTCTCTTACAAAATGGCATCAAAGTGACAAGAAAAACAAAGATGCTAAGCTAAGGAGTAGGACTGGGGTGAAGAAAGAGAGTTGCGTGTTAAGTATGGATAAGACTTTATCCTGACCAGATACAGAGAGGGTGGAGGGAAGAGTCCAGGTTAATTTCTGACTTGGATAACTTGCTTTATTGTGGTACTGTTAACCAAGACGAGAATGTTAAAGGATGGAGAAGGGAGAGAACACAAGCTTGAAACTGAAGGCCATGTAAGTAGAGATATCTAAGAGGCTATCTAGCTTTAACTAGATACCTGAATTTGAGATGATAGATTTTGATGGTTTGGGAACCATTGGATGGGTTTATGGGAATAAGGTGGGAGGTGAAAAGAGAAATGAGGACAGAACTGTTAGGAACACTGATGATAGAAATAGTGACCAGGGAAAGAAGAACCAGCACTATCATGTTGATTAAAACCTTTGCTGTCTGCGACCAGCAGTTGACGTAATGGCTATGTTGCTGGACTCCCATGTAGTCGACTGTGGTTCTATTCCCAGACCCACTGGCTTAAACTCATGCCGGGCATGTGTGCGTGCATGCCCAAGATCCCGAGAGCAGCATGTAGGAGAAGGGATTGCGGCGTGGCCATCCCCCCTGGGGGGTGATTTCTTGCTTTCTATCTCTCTCTCGCTCTGTCTTTCTAGTGAGCCCACGTACCCTATAGCAAAAACCTCTCAAAAAAAAAAAAAAAAACCACTTTGCTACTCTTTCTTTTCTCCTGTTCCTCATGTCTTTAACATGAGACTAAACTAGGAATGGATTGGGACATGGGCAACAAAAGCAGAGCAAGGGTTTTACAGTGATTAGCTACTTAATGGAACCTTTTACTGCCGAATGCAAAATTCCACATGCTAAAAGTTGCTGCTCCCCAACTGAAAACTACTCCTCTGGAAAAATGTCTGTGCTGTACCTTTATTCAAGTTAGTCATGACATTTTCTCTCTTATTTTTTTTTAAGAATTATTTATTTCTTCAATTGTAT